AGCCCGGAAGACCCACACCAGCCATCGTATGCCGGCCGTGAAAGCCTTCGACAATACACAGAAAAGGTACACTTTCTGGGTCCAGAAGGATGGCGCTTCTTAACCAACGGGACCCTCAGCGTGCCTCTCCTGCCAGACTGAATGGGATGGGTGCAGACGATCGGGGTTGGGTGTCCTGCAAATAACTCAGCCCCATGCCACGAGGGGCTTTACAGGGGACAGCCAGCACCTCAAATTGCACCCGGAAGCACGCTGGCAGCCAAAGCAGCTCGCGGAGCAGAGATGTAACATGGGCCAGTCAAAGAACACCCATCGGTGCTGCATTCCGGACCACGTGCAGCTTCCAAATGCTATTCAAGGGCAGACCCAAGCAGAGCGCATTGTGGTAGTCCGCTCAGGAGGTGACCGAGGCAGGAGTGACGGTGAGGAATCCAGGATAGGGCGCAACCGGCGCACTCAACCAAGTTGTACGAAAACCCTCCTGGCGCAGCTGCTGCCTGCTCCTCGAACAGGAGCCGTGGGTCTAGAAGGAGACCCAAATTGCCCGTTGGTTTTCTTTGGGGTCGTGCAGCCCATCCAGAACAACAGATGGAAAATCCCCATTTTTAGGGGCCCCTAAAACCCAAATCCACTCTGTCTTGGCAGGGTTGTGCTGCACCCTGTTCTCCCCCATCCAGGCCCCACAGCCTTCAGACCCTGAGACAGAACTTCCGTGGTTTCGGACTGTACCATCTTGGTTCTTCATAATATATTCCCTGCAGCAGGTTTATTTAAAGTGGTTTTTCTGAACTTGCTCTGCCTCCAACTCTTCCAGAAGCAGGATACGCTTCTGCTGAAAACCTACGTGTATTCTTCCTCTTCTTTGGAGTTCTTTTTAGGCTGGTATTTCTTTGCGAGGTTCCTAAAATGAAACGAGAACGAGAGAGAAGGAAAAGATGACTGCCAATGAATAGCTTAGCAAGCGTCGTCTTCTTCTTCTTCTTCTTTCTTAAGACTGAAGACAATTTGTTTATGGACTGAGCTTGTCTGCTGCCGTTGAGATAAAAATATTCTCACGGTCACTTATATTAAAGTAAGCCATTTTGTAAAGAAAAAATAAGCACTTGCGAAGCTAGAAAAATAGCAGCCACATCTCGTCAAAGATGAAGAATGGGAAAAAATGAGAATAAGAGAAGACATGGGCCTGATAGCCCAAAACCCAATTTTTCCCCCTCAACTTTGATACCTGGTAGCCTCCACGTCTCATGCAATGAATGTCGGTTTTCTAAAGAAGCCTAAATGTGTAGCCAACATTAGATTTGAACTATTCTCAACCATGCTCCCAGATTACTGAAATTAAAGACATTCCCCTAGAATCTTAATAGCACGTTAAGCCCCTTAACATAATGGTGGTTTTCACATAATGAGGTCAAATCAAGAACCGGTGACTGTATTTGCAGAGTAGGCTAACTTGGTTTAGTGTTAACCTTGGCTAGACTGGTTACAGCTTCCCTTATTAGCCATCCACTTATGGCCTGATGTGCTGAGAAAGCCAACGAAATAGATTCACTCAACAAGCAGGTTAAACATGTTGTGGGGAGGTAGCCAACGTCTCTAAATCTCACTGACGTCAATGGAGAAGCCACTATCAGATGTGTGCGTGTACAGAAACTACATAAACCTAGAATTTCATTTATCAGTAGACCAGAACTGAGATGACAAGCCAACAAGAACCAATAAACATAATAAAACAAGGCATAGGACAATGCCTTTCTTCCACAAGCTGCTTCCTCAACGAGTTAATATCCAAAAGTCCATGATGGATTGGGTCCTATAAGAATCAGTGTTAGCAGGGAGCAAAGACACCGTCTTGACCAACAGGATCTCCTCCTCTTCCTGGCGGTCAACTGGGTCTAGGAACCACTGCTTTATTTCCCCACTAGTAGGAGTGGTTTGTGGGTAGTAAACATGGTTGTTTCAATGTGCTCTTGTGGAAATTTTCTACCAGGCCTGGAGGGGGAAAAGCCACTGCCAAATATCTGGACTTTAGGCTCCTGTGAACACCCCTGATGGCGGCATTTGCCTTTTAGATGTGCTGGAGTAGAAACCCCATCATCACCAAGTCATCATTTGCATGTTAGGTGAGGATGGTGTTGGGTTTTATAGCTCAACGATTATGGAAGGAATCAGGTTGGGCCATCATGTCATCACAGCTCTCCAGGGAAGAGGATGGAAGAATTTCTGCCTCCCACTTCTGCCTTTCAGATTTGAGGCCTGATGACCAGGACATTGCCAGAATGGTGTGGCTTGATTTTGAGGGAATTTGAGATTTATTTAGGAAAAAAATGGGGGAGGGGGGCATTCCACTACTGAAAAGTAGTGGTTTTGTCCCAAATTCCAGTAGTACAACCTTCAGTTGTTCTGGAGGCCATGGTCGCTCCTGAACAAACTCTACCAAGATCACCCCCAAATATGGAACCAATCCTGATTCCTTAATGACTGGTGGATTCCAAAAGCAATTCCTTCCAACATGCCTGGAAAATGTTTTATGTACCAGGAGTCAGTAAACCTTTGCAATGATGGTGACCCTCACTATGATTTTGTCTCCCCATGCTGGGAGATTTGGACAAGGTCAAGGAAAGCCTATGGACTTCGTGTGTAAGTCACATCAAACTGCACCTTTAAATCTACTGGGCAACAATCATCACAATTCTTCACAACTGACTTGACTATTGGACTGAAAATTCTTACAGGATCTTGGAAGATTCTTACTCTACTGAAGATCTTGAATCTGTGGGTTCAACATCTTGAACCTGAAGTTCTCTACTCAACCCCTGTGCCTCTCGGAAACTCCTTCTCATGCTCTTTCAAGGGAACCTTCACTTTGTTCCCAACAGTAAAGAGAAATGAATTTCTATTTGACGGTGCAGGTTGCTAAATTTGGAACAGGAGAACTTGGGTGAAGTTGCTCCGCAAACGAAGCAATCAGCATGTCCTAACGATGAAACATTTTACAAGTAGAGACTTCAATCAGACGCCCCAAATGTAGTTTTATTTCTGTATCAGCCATAAACCATACTGAAAATGGAACAGGTCAGCTTGGGGACAAAATACATAAAACAATTACAAGGCTAATGAAGAAAGATTCCCTTTCTTTCTCATGTTCCTATTCAGAAGTTACGAAAACGAGGGGAGGAGGCATCATGGATACTTGCAGAAGATGGGGTAAATTAAAAGGCCCATAAAGAAACAGCAGTTCTGCAAAACTCTTACCCAGCCAAGGGCCCTTGAATTTTTAGGATCATAGGAGCCAAAATAGCCAGATAAAATTTGGCCAGGCTGGCTAGGAATTTGGGGAACTTTTGCCCGGGCCTGAGTGGGGGAGGCAGTTCTTAAGCAACTGGGATCGGCGTTGCAAGTTTTCAGGTAGACTTCTAATGCAGAGGGAACTCAGGATCTGCTATGGATAAAGTCACAGTAGATGAATTCTGAGCCATTGTACAGGTTTAGAACTCCCTGTGCCTGGATGCTCTAGGTTTACACCATACCAAGCCAAAATGAAATTGTTTCAGGAGCATTTTCACAGCACACATTATTCATTGATTAAGTTACCGTTGGCTGGGAGAAACTTTTTGGGATTGGAGGCTGCATTATATATAACTTTGCTCTGGTGTCAGACTGAACTCTGAGGATCCACGTTTTGGGTGTGGATGTTTGAAGTGGGGGTATCTAAGGGGTCAAACAGATGCCTTATCTGAAGGCACTCGTTTTACTCCCTAAAAACCCCCAAACTGGAAAAAATCAGCCCAATTTTTGGGAAGGGGGATTCAGGAATTTAAAGGAGGCTATGACTCCAGCACTGGCTGGGGCCTATAATGTTGCAAACCTCCCTTTGCAACGTAGGAACCCTAAAGCTGAAAATCAAAAATATCACCCAAAAATCAGCTGTGCCCAGTTGAGGGGGATCCATAAATGAGATACTGTGGTTTGCCCAACCCTACGATCAACCATGGTTCACAAGAACAATGCTTGAGTATATGCAACATATTAAACTAAGATCAAATATGCCTTACCTATGAGCCAGACCTGAAAGGGGAATATTCCTTCCATTTTTAAATGCAGACAATACATTTGAGAAATGCGGATTTAACCCTCTGGACAAGTATTATCCAGAATAGCAGGGTCAGTTAGCGACTGGATGAAGTGTATATAAACATTACAGACTTCCCAAATGAATATCTGACTCACCTAAGCTGCTTTGCATAGTTGATCTCGATCTCTGTCCTGTCTTTGACAAATTTGATATATTTCTCCAGAATGTCAATACCCCACTGCGTATGTTTTTCAAGGGTGTCAAACTGATCCTGCAGAGCAAAAGAGAGAAATGTTTAATGGGTACTCTAACCAACCTCAGAGAAAGATGAATCACACTTTTCGGCCTTTCGGAGAAACTTTTTTTTTAAAGTACTCTTCTTATAAAATGATCAGACCTTAAAGATGATGGCAGCACGCAGGGGCTTTGGAACGAGAAGCTGCCCTCATTTCACCTTGATGAGGCGCAGGGGGAGAAAATAGCAGCTAAGAGATTTCACTTTTTCGCTTGCCCATTTTCCCCAGGAATGAACCCAGTAAGGTCAAGACATGGACAACTCCAGAAGAAGTGATTGTCTCTTCAAGATCAAGCACCAGGAAAATGCAGGAGAAATCCGCTTTAACTAGCACTGATGGGTCAGTGTCTGCGACGTCACTAACCCCATCCTTGTGAATTGCGTCTCTTAAGCAGAAAGCTATGAAGATTCTGCACTTAAACACATAAAATAAGACAAAACGATGCATATACAGTTGAGTTTCCTAAAGGATGTGTGCAACCCGTTCTAAAATGGATCTCTAGAGATCTGCTGCCAGCCCCACCTCAGCTTGATCCGATCATCTAAGCAGCCTCCTGCTGAGCACGCGCAGATTGCAATAAGGGTGACAAGATGTCGAAGCACCCTGGACTTTTCTGGCACTTTTCCTCTGCAAGGTGGTGCAGGTTGGACCCAAGGCATTAGGAGTTGCTAATTTAAGCTGACAACTGGGAGAGGCACCTCCACCAAAGGACAGAATGAGGAATTGTCGTCTCATTAGCAGATGCCCTGTCCTGATCGGACAGATTAAAAAAAAATAAAACATGATTGATTGCCTGCATTAGTAGAACAATTGTCCCCTCTAGCACTTTAATTCTAAAAACTTCACAGAACATACACAGGTTTTTACACACATTATCTCCTGGGTGCAAGAACTGATGTGAATTCCCCAGAAACTTAAAAAAAAAGCGAACAATGCTCTTCTTGTTCTTTGTTACACACGCTTCCCCATGCAGACATTTTCGAATTAAAATTCCCCAATGCACGCTCGGTTTTTAAAAGCTAGCTCTGTTTGCGCGTCACTTCCAAGAGCGTACCTTTAAAAAAAATAATAACTTGAGCCGGGTTACAGATTTGTGAATAGGATAAGGTAGCATTAAGCAAAGTCTGCTAGCAACTAACATTCATGACCCTGTGAAATCCCGGGGAAGCACAGCACCCAACGTGGTACCTAACAGGACCTGTGATGCATTTTTACATCTCTGCTCAGCCTCTGCTCCAGTCCTGGATTGTCTAGGACTGGAAGGATCAAAAAGTTCAATTTTATGATCATTATTGGTGGCACAGTCAGCCACATGTTTAGACTGGGTTTGGCATTTTTGTCTACCGACTGAGTCCTTCCCAAGGACCTGGGATTGGCAAATGTTGTCTGATGGTGTTAAAGGTATCGTCGCAGGATGGAAGCTGTTCCAAGTGGAGCGGCCTTGTGCAATGGACTGATGGTGATTTGGTCCACGCTGATGGTCTTCAAGGGGTGCTCCAGATGTTTTGAGACTGCGCCCAAGGCGCCTATAACTATTGG